TACAGGCCCTCGAGAGGATATCCATAACCTTTGTCAGGAGCACACAGGCTTTGTACACAGCCACAGGTCAGCTCCTGCTGACATGGCTAAGCAATGATGTAAATTCCAGGCCTGGGTCAGGGACACGATTTTGTGTCCTTAACTAAATGTGCAACAGAAAATATATTAAGAGATGATGAGAAGAAAAACAGCACTGATGTCCTCCAGGTTAAAAGCCAAAACTCACTATCTATAATCTCCTACTGACTTGTCACAGTCAGAAGGTCAAAATACATGTTTATTTTCTTTGATTTTCATTATCCATACTGAAAAACCAACATGACTTCAAATCAGTTTGGAGTAAATATTAACAGGGAATAAACCCCATAAAGTTATTTAAAAGACCTTTGAATCACATGCACTTCTGACACTTACCTGACAAGCGTGAACCTTGCTGGGTGCTGCACATTTCCAGGTCCTCAGTGGCTTGGACAATATTTAAATACAAAGTTATTGAACATACCTGCTAGGCAATCCCTTTGAAGGAAAGATTTAGGGATCCTCTTTGGTGAGTACTTTTAAAAAGTTTGGTAGGAAAATCTAATAGGTCTTTGAGCTGATTCTATCATGCGCCAGAGTAACAGACCCCCACATCTTTACCACAGAATTAAAAAAAATCTCCTAAAAAGTGTGAAATAATTCCAAAAACTGTAACAGAGGAAAAAGAAGGTTCTATGAAAACTATAAAATCTGACAACAAGCTGGACATTATACTTTTGTTTCTTACTGCTCAGTATGAGAATAGACTGACAAGATCTATGAGATATTACAAGGCTTGTTTAAAAGTGCCTCAGTTATCATGCAACTACTTGCACAGAGATACAAATTTGCCCTATTTATGAACTTCTGAGTGGTCTCCTGAGTCATTAAATATCACTGAACAGTAAAAGGTATCTTTCATCTAAGAGTTTCAAGACAGCATCATATTACATTCCTTATTTCTTCAGTATTCAGGACTGATACTAGATATGTGAATTTATAAAGTGGAATAGTTAAGTTGTAGTTACTTTAAAATGGAATCTATCAACATCTGCAAATTATTGAAGATTAAATAGATTTTTCAAAAATTACACTCTTAATTCAATACGGAAGCAAGAATTACATTATGATAATTTTAGGAACTACATCTCCCAATACAACTTAAAAAACTTTACCTTGCTTTTCTATAATAGTAATTGAGCAGCTAGGAAACATAGTTTTATAAATTTGTTGCCTTATTGCAATGAAAATCTGTCCAGTTGGGACCTCCTGCAACCTTCTCCCAGGTGAAAGTCTTATTCTATTTGACCTTTGACTAAAAAGAATTTGATTAACAACACATTAAAAACCCCCAAGCTATCTGAAGAACAATGTTGATTAGTTGTTGATTTTTTAAATGTTCTCTGCTTAAAGACCAGATCTCAAGTTTTTTAACTATATCCTGGTTTTTTTATGGTTGGGATTAATTTATTTGAATTAAATACCAAATGAATTGGTTTATATGATATGTCTATTATATCAATGACATTTAAGTTTTAAAATTAGGAAATGAATTGACCTTGAGCAGCATATGTACTCAAAATTTATAATTAAGAAGAATATTAATAATTTAATTTTATAAAATGAACAGCTGTTGTAGCTGATTGGAAACAGCTAAAAGTATTAAATGTATTTTGTGAATGCAAAATTAAAAGTTAATTTTATTATGGAGTGCAATTTGGAAACTAGAAATAAATTCTTGAGATGTAAGCAATATATTTTTGTAATGCTCTACCTATACATCAGAAAGGTCACATGTATATTTAAATGCCAAATTACTAAAAAAGTTTAATGATTTCAATTGAAAAGCTATCATATGATTTAGCTATTTACAGATGAGTATGAAACAGCAATGATGCATACACTCTTCCTTTTCCCAATGAACTATTTAAAAGCTTTACAGATAAATAGTTTTATTAAATATTTCTATAATATACACTGTTAGTTTCACTTACCTAAATAAGTCTCCTAAGTCCCTAATTTTCTGCCTTTTTTTGTGTGTGTATGTGTATGTGTGTGTGCCATTCTTAGAGATTAAGATTTTCATTAGCATTTGATACTACGGGTTTTCACTTCAATACATCTCTCTCTCATGTTTTTAATTAATTCTGACTGTATGTATTTTAACCTGTGCACTTTCAAGCTTTAATGTAGTCATTACACATATACACAAGGTGCATAGGCTACAAAATTACATTACTTTGAATAAGAACCCAAAATAGTCTGCTAGACCAGGCAACATAGATGCTTGGCAAATTCAGCATGTCTTCAAACCAGAGAAAAATCTTTCCATAATGGTCCAGGTTAGAAGTCACCACTTCTACCATTATTGGGCTAATTTCTGCTGGTTACATCTTCTCTAAGAGGAATGTGTCTCTAGCTCTCAGTCAGGCTAAATTTGCACCAGAAACCATCTAAGACATTGCTTCAACTCGTGTCAATACTTCTTCTTCATCTTGGCACTCACTCAGCAGTGAAAGGCCATTGCCATGTGGGAATTGTCCTCTCCTGTAAGAGACCTTTCATACCCTGAGATATTGTTGTTTCTCCTGTACTCCTACCAACAAAAGCACTTTCCACTAGTCTCCGTTTTAAGTGGTTTTCATCCATACACAGAATTGAAAGACTATTTAGTGAAACAAACTCTCTTTTAAAACAATCTTAAATGCTCTAACTCTTCTTAATGTAACTTAGTATCAAAGAAAGGAACCAGACTGCCACTTTGTGCTATGAAACATTTTAAAAAGCAGAAACATTGTAATTCTGATGAAATATTTAAATCCTACATCAGTAGTAATCGGGACACACTTCAGTCTCAAAGACTTTTTTTTACGAAGGATTTCTGGATCAGGTCCATCATTTATTCCCTGCCTTGCTGTCACTTAGTCTTGAGCACTAAAGATACCTTCTATTTCATATCACTCAACCACACACTTCTGACACCTAAATCTTTGGCAAAGGAATACTAACTAATGAAGCTAAACATATTTCTCTCAATGTTTTCTATAACGCAACAGTTTATAGAAGATTCATCAGCAGAAGACAGCTGCTTGGTTATTAATTTAGTAAGTTGACCCTAAGAATATGGTTCAAGAAATTAATTCAGAATAATAAATATTAAAATACGGTTAAGGAGCTGTACTGTAGTAACTGTCCATTAAGTTCCCATTATTTCATATATGAGGGTTCTTGTGGTATTGTCTCATCTCATTATTCCCCAGGAGAAGAGATTCTTGGCGGCATTTGACATACATATAAACACATTAGTTTTACATATTCTGTCATTACAAATGTTTATCGAGCTGTGTTTTTTCTTGATTCAGAAGTCCATGACAAAGTGTATCTACCAACATGATTGTGTCAAAACTTGCCTGACAACTGCCACCAGAGGATCTCACCTGAAGCTGAACAGTTCCAGATTAGTCCTGGTGAAGTTTTGAAGGCACTTTTTATTTGTCTCATTAGGTAATCAGAAAATAAAGCTGATGTTGTAAAAATATAAGGCACAAATAACATATTCTCAATGTTAGAATGCAAAATTTAGCAAATTACTGATCAGGTTGTTCAGTTTGTTTGCCTACATAGACTCAAATTTAAAAAAAAAAAAATAGGGAACTCATTGCAGTAAGAAATGTTATTATTTGAAAATAAATATGCCTAAACTCACTCTTACATGATGCCCAGTGATAGATAAGAAACCCTAGAGGCCGTCACTATCTACCAGGTACTTCTAAACACTGTTTTGTGCCAAGTATCTCTTTCCCTCTGCAGGACAGTGACTGCCATTTTGTTGTAGTGCCAGGGTAACATGTATGTCAGCCCCTAAATTCTGCAGTTTTACATTAAGTTATCATTCGGGAAGCATGCTTTGGCTCTGCTGTGCCACAGACAACTTAGGCTGGGAGTGGCTGTTTGGGGCTGACCCTGTGGCCTGGACCTCTCTGAGAAGGGGCATCACTAACACTGACTGCTGCCCACTTCTGCACAAATATACATCCCAGTCTGTAGAACTTGACCTGTATGTTCATTCCCAGTACTGGCACCATGCATTTCTCTTTTTTCCTCTCAGCTTCATGTGTAGGAAACAAAATACTGAAAATTTTAAAAACCCAAACCCAACCCACCAACCAAAGCCAACAGGCACACCCGTCCGAAGCAGCTCGCGGGGTTTTAAAGGTGTTTACCATGAGCAGCTCTCAGGTCACCGTGCGCTGAGCTCCGCTCGGCCGCCGCGATGGAGCCGGCCCCGGAGCCGGCCCGCCGCCTCAGCGGGAAATGGCGGGGAGGCGGGGGGCGCGCGGGGGGCGCCGGCCCGGGGGCCGCCCCGCCGCCTCAGCGGGAAATGGCGGGAAGGCGGCGGCCGCGCGGGGCACCCGCGGAAGGATCAAACGAGACCGACGCGGCGGGACCGTCCCTGCTGACCCCGGTGTGAACGTGTTTATTTCACGCTGCGGTCGCGGGTCGCTTTACAGAAACATCTCATGCTGGACCCCGCGCGGGGTCGAAGACGGAGGGGAACACGTGTATTCAAACGTAACTATTAAATAACCTGTACACAAAACTTCAGTCTGTTACCCTGAAAGCACCGAGGGCCGAGCCCCAGCACGGCCACACCGGCGCTGCCACCTCAACCCCGGGTGTCTATAAGCCTCGACCCCCGCGGCCGGACCGGACCGGCTCTGCTCTTGCCCCCTCAGCCGCGTCCAGGCCGTGCCGGGCGCCTGTCCCGGGGCTCTGTGAGGGTCCAGTCCCGGGCCTGAGGGCCCGCGGAGGCCGCCCCCAGCCGGGGTCCCGCTCGCCGTGCCCTGCGACAGTCCGAGAGCCGGCCGCCGGCCTCTCCCCGCCGCCGCCCTGCCCCCGGCGGCGAAACGCCCCCAGCCCGAGTCCCGCCGTGGCTCGGCTCGGCCCGCAGAGGCAGCAGCCGCCGGTGGTAGTCCCGGCGGTCACAGGTCGCGGCTGTCCTCCCTCTTGACGCCGTCCGCCACCGCCTTCAGCTTCTTGTTCTGGTGGGTCTTGACGTGCTTGGCCAGGTGGTCGCTGCGCATGAAGCGCTTCCCGCACTCGGGGCAGACGAAGCGCTTCTCGCCCGTGTGAGTCCGCAGGTGCCGCTGCAGCTCGTCGGAGCGGGTGAAGCTCTTCCCGCAGAAGAGCCAGTTGCAGACGAAGGGCCGCTCGCCAGTGTGCCAGCGCAGGTGCGCCTTCAGGTGCGAGGTCTTGCCGTACACCTTGCCGCAGCCGGGGATGTGGCAGATGTGCTGCTTCTTCTTGCCCGGCTCCGCCTCAGGGGCGCTGCCGGCGGCCGACTGGCAGTTGGGGCAGCGGCAGCGGCGGCACCTCCTGGCCGTGGCCGCCAGGGGAGACTTGGTCTGCAGCAGGGCGGCGATCTGCGTCTGGTACTGAGCGAAGTCCGAGTGCCCCAGCACCAGGCTCCGCGGCAGCGCTGCCGCCGCGGGGAAGCGGTGGCCGCAGCCGCCCGGGGCGCTGGCCTGCTGGATGCTCCACCAGGGGATGTCCTCGGGCGGCGGGTTGGGCGACAGCTGCCGGCAGGGCTGGGCGGGCGGAAGCAGGTTGGAGTACCCGGGCGGCAGGGCGGCCTGCGCGGCGTAGGGGACGTAGGCGGGCGGGCAGCTGGACGGCAGGGCGGCCATGGAGGAGGGCAGCATCTTGACGGGGGAGAACTCGTAGGGATAGGAGGGGTCCGCCGGGGGGGTGAGGGGCAGTTCGTGAGAGCCCCCGAAGGAAGGCTGCAGGTGGTTCTTCTGAGGGGTCAACCCCAAGCTGGGATGCGGCGGCGGCAGCCCTCCCGGGGAGTGCGCTGGCATCTCGCCGCTCCACGGGTGGAAGATCCTAGAGGGGGATCCCAGCGTCGGGTCGTAGGAGACCGGCAGGAAATCCGAGGGCGCTGCGCCCGGCTGCCCGATCCGGCTACAAGTAGCGGCCAGAAGAGCCAAGGGCGAGTGCTTGGCCAAGTCTGGGGAGGCGCTGGGGGTGCGGTCCTGCGCAGGAACAGGAGGGAGGGGAGAAGGGAAGGAGGGAAGAGAGCGCGTTACTCGCCGCCCGCCGACACCGGCCTGCGAGAAACTTCGCTGCCCGTGCGAGACTGGGGCCGCCCCGCCGCTCCCCTCACGGCCGGTAAACTTTCCGAAAACAATGCGCACCCAGAGGGCAGGACAGGCTCAGCCCTCCCGCCCCGCCCAGAGATCGGTCCCGCCTGTGGTCAGTGCCGCCGGCCCCGCCGCCCCTCCTGGGCCGGGGAAGCAGCCTCTGTGGGCAGGAAGGCAGCCCCCGCGCCCTCCACACCCCTTGCCACGGAGCACTGTCTGGAGTTAGTCTGGCTGCTGGCGGGAGAGGGAAGTTGCCAGTCCGAGAAGCCCGAGCCCGGCCTCCTACCACCGCGGGGGTCCCCACCTACCTCTCCGGGCCGCCCGCCGGGTAAAGCCCCGGGAGGGAGGCGGCTGAAGCCAGCTGCCCCTCGCAATGCGGGTCACAACCGCGGGACTCAGCGCAGTTCGAGCAACACCGGGTGCGGGTACTGACCTGAAGGAAAGCCTGGAGGGAGTCGTTCCGGAGGACAGCCACCGCGGCCATGGCTACTGCGCCCGGGGCGAAGTGAAGGCGCCGGGGCACTGCCGAGGCATGAGGACGCCGAGAGGAAGACGAGATGCTGCCCAGTTTCTTTCTCTCTCCCCCTCTCCCTCCCTTTCCTTCTGATCTCTTCGCCTCTGTGCGCGTCCCACCCCCCCCGCGCTGCGCGATCTCCGCGGACTGTCTGACTGCACCAGGATCACCTCCAAGAATTTGATAAGGACTTTGCCGGGCCGCCAACCAGTCAGAGGGAAGATTTATGGCTTTGAAGTTTGCCGCTACCCAATCATCAAAGAATAGCGGCTCTTTCAGAAGCGAAAGCAAATCCTTTGAATCCACAAAGCTCCTATGGTGTGTTTGTTGGTCTGGATAAAAGAACTGATTATTAGGGGGGATGGGAAGGGAGGAGATAAAGGCGGGACAATTAATGAAGTAATCACTATGTGGGAAATGTATATACACAAATAATTGGATTTTCTTGATCAAAGGACCCCTTACCGCCTAGAGACCCTTGCGTTGGATGTGCAAGACACTGGATCCCCCCTCGTTTTTTTTTTTTTTTTTTTTTTAATTATTTTTTTTATTTATTTTTGCAATTAAATCTGTGGCAGAGTCCTAAAGTGACAATGTGTCTTTGTTATCGCTCGAAGAATCTGCCTCCGGATTCTTCTGATAGTGTTTAATGACTGAAAGTAACATAGCACAGCGAGTTCACCTGATCGGGGCTGGTCGATCCCAGCCGTAAAACTTCCCTGGAGTAATTGTCGGTGGTTCCTCCCCGCTCCCTCCCTCCGCCCGCCCTTTCCCCGAGGCTGAGGGGTATGCCCTCGATATGACTCGGCAAATAACCGTGCATTTTCTCCTCTGGTAGCTGGATTTGTTTCACTTCGCTCAGCCGGCATTGCCCCTTGTTACCGGGAGCCCCCGCCTGGCGCGGGGCCAGGCCAGGCGCCCAGCCGGGCCCGGGGAGGAGCGGCGGGCTGCCACCAGCAGCAAACGCTCTCTCAGACAGACACACCGACAAACCGGGCAACCGAGAAACAGAAGGGAAAAGTTTCCTCTTCCCTAGCGGGAGCCGGGTGTAAGAGACATAATTTCTTTAAATGAAGACCGGAGTCTCTCTTGGCGGGCCTGCCGAGCCGACCTGTCCTGCGCCGGCGGGGAGTGCAGATGGGGGAGGCTCCTCGGGAGTACGAACGCTGCTACCGGGTCTCTGCCTCCCCAGCTCCCTCACCTCCTGTCCCAAAGCCAAAGTCGGACCCGAGCGCTTTGTTACTTCATCCCGCACCTTTCGGCCTCTGTCTATACATGTCTATACGCATGTGTGTATGAAGGATCTAACCTGCCTTGCGTTCGACCATGTGTGAGGCTATTGACCCTCTAACCAGTACCAGGCACATCTGGGTCACAGCTTGCCGCCACCGTCGGCTGCTGAGCTCGGTGGGCTGCAGAGCTGGCGGGACCCCTCGCATGTGTCGCCCAGCAAGGGGCAGGCGGGGCCCCGCGCTTCTCCGCGGGCCCGCTCAGCTCCGCGCTCCGCCGGGGGCCCTGGAAACGCGCTCCTCTCCTCCCCGCTTCCCCATCTGCTCCGAGGCCATCGCAAACGCCGGCCTGTTTGGCCAAGTACCAAACCAGGACGTTCATCTCCGTCTTGAGGAGGTGGGGGTGCCCTTTCGGGCAGATACCGGCTGGCTCTGGTTCTCCGGAGCTGTTTGCACAGGTAACTCGATCCTCCCCGCAGTCGCTGGGTTCAATTGTATTCGCACCGCCACTGAAGCCTCTTTAAACGCCAGCACACAGAGATCTTTATCTGCCTTTCCTGTGGAAACAATCACTGTCCGCTCAAAGACTTTCAAGAGTTGTAGGGCTTGAATTAGATCGGTTTCTTTGAAGGGATTAAAGTGCCAAGTCCTCTCCCACGGCTCCATATTGAGTCCTGGGGAAAAATAAAAGCTCGACCTCGTGTAACACTACGCAGCAGCCATATCAAGCTCTTCCCATGTGCCAGGTAACCGCTTCACCAGATTGGCAACAGGAAGAGAAGGGTCCCGCATCCAGCGCTTTTACCAGGCACTGATGCATGGAGACAAGGTTCGCCCCTGCTTGCTGCAGGACCCCGCGGCACGACAGCAGAACCCGCCAGGGCGTGAGGCTGTGGGCGATAGGACTCCCCATCCCCCTGCAAGGGTGCGTGGCTTACGGGGTTCGGCACCTCCATCCATCACACACGAACACCTCCCAGTACCGCCGATGCGCGATCCACCGGGGGCTGCTCCGCGTCTACACGGGACATAGCATCAAATGGGGAACCACAGCGAGCCCCAGCCCGCAGCGGGGCCGGGGGGACGCATACATAGGCATTGCCCCGCACACCCCCGTCCGCAGCCGTCAGGTGCCTCCCGCTCACTGCCAAGCTCCAGCCGCGCCACTAGAGCCGCATCGGGGCAGGAGCGCACTCGTTGCCCCCTCAAGTATAAGCTGTAGGCAGGGCAGCCGGAGTCGAGGGGGAATCCCAAGTGGGGAGCCCGAGCCGCACCTCTACTCCCTGGAGGAGCAATAACTCACCAGATGAGCGAAACGGCGGCGTTCGCACTTGCGTTGTCCCTCAACCGCTGTATCCCCAAACTTATGTCAAACCCAGAGATCTGCGAGATGCCCGATTTAAGCCTACCTCGATTTTTGTTAATTCGTTTTACCTAGTGATTGGCAGAAGAATGCTCAGAACAATGTTTCTAAACGAAATGAGAGGGAATAGGTACATCAGGAGACGCTGAACACCCCGAAGTTCCCTCCACTCTCTAAAGCATGGTGTTTCCCAGATATCTCGACGAACCAAAATGATTTGTCAAGTTACAAAAGAGTTAGTGGAAAACTGGATAAGTTTCTATACAGCTGCCACACTACAAATGCCATAAATCTGCATCCAAGAAAGCACATTACCTAAAAATTGAGAATAAATTCTCACTTCTGGAAGAAACCAATGGGCTGAAAAATGAAACGCTGCAGTCATAATTTTCTGTACAAATAATTAGTGTTCAAACTCGGAGCATTTCAGTCTCCTGAAATGTATTCTTAATGAAGTGATGTTCAGAGCTGTCATTAAAAATGCAGAGCTGGAAGATCAAAGTACAATATTTATTTTAGAAATTTGTTTCAGTTATCAGGAGATACAGGTATCAAGGCCAAGTGTCAATTCAGTTACACAAAGCACTATTTCCATGAGAAATGGGCTGCCGCTACGTCCTAGCGTAAAGCAAAGGGACACCAGAGATGAGTTGCAACGCGGGAGGCGGCGCGGCGCCGGCGGGGGTGTGGGGGCTGCTCTCGGCGGCGCAACCGGGCCAGGGGCCGCTCGGACAGCGGCGCTGGAAAGCACAGCCCTGCTTGGAGCTTTGGCCCTCAGGTCAAGGAGCCGGTTCCGACCGGCGGGGCTGTAGGGGCCGGAGCGGCGCTTGGGCTCACCGGGGAGGCAGCGGCAGCGCCGTCGGCGCCGGGGCAGCGCGGCGGATGCAAAGAGCCGGAGCCTGAATTACTCCAGCCACGGGGCTGAGGCGCAAGGAGCGGGGCACCCACGACCCCACTGCCTCTATGGGACCCTGCCTGCTACGGCTGGCAGCGAGACCCCTACCGTCCCTGGGGCAACAGGGGCTCAGGCTGCATTGCGCTGGATAGCTACTGTCGATTGAAACACAGTAAATGTAAATCATAAGTCACCATCACAATTTCTTAGACAGGTGTCTTAAAAATCAGGATTTTTCAGATTCAGGTATATCAGAGTGGCTGTACCACTATGGAGGGCTCTGTGGACCTTGGTTTGAACGCATACCTGGGAATAACAGCTGCCCGCATGCAGTGGTATCCTCCATGGTTTCTGCTGTGCCTCTGGCTTCAGGGCCCAAGTACCTCATCCTGGAGCCTACCCCAAAACCTGTCCCAGTGATGGCTCACACTGCCACAACCAGGTCCTCTCATGACATTCACAGTCCCTCCAAAGACATTTGCAGCCACCTGCCATCACCTTCCCCCTCCGCCCTGGTCCCTCCTGTGATCACCTCAGTTCCTCAGCTCTTCGTCCCTCCTGTGATCCCCTCAGTTCCTCAGCTCTTCCAGCGTAGCCATGAGCAACCCTGGAAGCCTGGATGGGCTCTGGCCACCTGCCTGTCCAAAACTTGGGGTTCCTGGGTTGTTTTCCATGAAATACCATTCTTTAGCAATTGTGACAAAGAATCAGAAACAGGATAATTTTCAAGTTAACAGCTGCATTAACATTCAGCCAAATCTCCTAATCAAGTTGTCCATAAGAGGTGGCAAAATTGAAACCTGAAAAAGCTTTAATAAGCTTGCTCCAGAAGGCAGTGTCTTCACAGCATCCCTCATTCTTTCTGGTTTAAAGATGTACTAACAGAAACCATGCATCCACAATAGCAAGACATTTCACCAGAAGGTAAATTACCCTATGTATACAGCTTCAAGCATGTGTGCACACACTGCCAAGAGTTCTGAATTATATGCCATTAATACTATTTTTATTTATTTCAGCATATTCATATTTTTATAGTAGACAACATGACTGGCATAAGAAGAGGAATCACCAGTTCACACAGTGTAATTTGAACATCAGTAGATGAAGATAAAAGAAACATTAAAAACTGCTATGGTATCTCCTGCTTTTTTCTGTGCTTTAGGGAAAACCAAAAAATCCTAGACAAGATCGGCCCATGTTAAGGCATATTTAGGATTTAAAGGCTTGCCTCAACATTTCCCAGTGTAGGTGTGGATTTGACGAAGATTAATAGAGGATTCCCCAAACTTCTGAAAGCTGAGATGCCCTTTATGAGAAGTAGATGTTTTATGCCTCACAAAGTTTTATACCTCACAAACCTGTTGTCAAAGTTTTAAAAATCTTCATGCATTCATCCTCTACTCCATCCTTGGATGGCCCTTTGTGACTCTTCCTCCTGTCTCGGAGAACACCGGTAAACGTTTTTGGATATACTTACTTTCCTTGCTTCCATATTTTAAAAAAGAGTCAGACTTTTAGTCATAACAATATTGAAAGTGTTATTCTTGGCCCTACT